TTTCCTTTCAATATATGGCTTCATTCCCTGTGGACTCTGAATGAGCCAGGACAGAGAGCATGTGATCATTTAATTGGAGACTGAATCATAAGGAGCTCAAATAAAGGCTGAATGGACAACCTTAATTCTGGCATTTCCTAGCTTGCAAGAGCTTGACTTTGCAATCTTAACGTTCATTGAATACATTTTGTTGTATGTGACTCTGTAGAGCGTTCTTTTAATCCATTTCCTTGTATGTGATCTCTAAAAAAGCAACAGAAAGTAGGATTCAGTTCTGTCCAGTGAAACTAAACTAATGCTCCAGCATAGATCACCTGATGGATGGAAGGCATACCTTGGCACACATGGCTAAAAAGGGGGTGTGGTGGCCCTACTGTTTCAGGACACAACAGAACTATCATAAGACTGATCTCAATATGCTACTCTGTCAGAGCTTGGCATAGGACTTTGCTGGGTAAAAGCCACTGAATAATGACAATTCTGGGCTGTAGAGAAGCCTGAAAGATGCCTCGTAAGGCTGCTATAAGTTAGAGTTTCCTCTGTGGCTCCCTTCATTGAGGCCTCAGGGGCTCACACAACTCCTCATGATAGTATCTGGGAGGTACAGAGATGCCTGAAAGCCTCCTCCACCCCTACTCCATTAGGACAGACATTTTATTCTGGAAGGTGCAGACAGAATCTGCACCAAGTACTGTTCTAAACTCTTTCTGATGGGACCTTGTGTAAGCTCTCATTTCTTCCAGCTAGAAAATATGGGGAACGGTATTTATTAACTTCCTTTCCAATACTGGGATTTGAGGCCATGCTCAATGAGTGCAAAGACCCCAGAATGATTAACAAAGGTCAGTGGAAGCTCGAAGACTAAAATTCATGGGCTCCATCTTGGTGACCAACACAAGAGCTTTCCCTAGATAAAAAGAGTGGGGGCAATTTCTAGTGCTGTTGCTGCCTGCCTGCTCCTTTTTCCACCTGGAACTCTGTATCTGGGAGCATTCTCAGGGAAGTTTGCATGCTAGGAGAACTAGGCTGAAGTGTGCCCAGAACAGACTGAGATTGTAAGTCTCTTACAAGTTCTGTTCTGCACAAGCAAATAAATGATGATATTCAAGAGTTAACTGTCAGTCAAAATTAATAAGAATCTGAGGGGAGTAAAGGCATCTCTCTGACCCCAGAACTCTTGCTGAGCTTCAACTTATTTTGCCAAACTGTAAAAGACTAATGTACTTCAAAAACTGTAAGAAAACTGAAATGGACAAAACTACCTACTTCTCCTGTACCCTCTCTTGGAAACAAATAACGTCTTTCTTCTGAAACATTTTCTTTTAAAAAATAATTTCAATTGAAGCAAGGAGGAAGCACAACCCCCCCCCAAAGGTCAAACAGTTAAAACTTAAGAAACTAAAAGCAATTAAAATGGGGGGGGGGGCATGGGGGA